TGTTGTCTATAAATATAGGGATTTCCTCTCATTTTAAAACAACGAAAAATTCTGGACTTCTTCTTCTTCTTCTGCACAATTAAATATTTGTATACTTTGGTCCTGTTGAGTGGCTCACTAACACCATTGTTTGTATATCAATACACTGGTGAATACAATCGTTCTATCCTGAGAGGATCTATTCCTTTAAATCTCGAGTACTAGAGGGGAAGAATTTCCTTAAGGGGACAATGTGCATTCAGTGGGCTCAAGATTTTCCTTTCTATTTCATTATATTATTACAGATCCTGGTATATTTTTTACAGTCATTAATTTATGCTTATGTTATTAATTGTTGTTTTTGAGTACATGTTTTAAACTTTGTTGTTTATGTTTATGCTTTTGATCATTATGTTGAAGTAAAGATATGTTAATCAAGAGTTTGATGTAATCATTAGACTATTGGTGTCATGTTGATTAGAATTCTTAAACTTGTAATATAAATGACTTTGATCTACTTTGATCCTTATCGAGTTTCCACTGGCTAAAAGATCTATGGGATGTCCAAGAAGGGACTTTTGAGTGTTTAGAAGTTACGGTGGTTTCACACTACCTTGGAGTTTTAGTTATTCAACTTTCTATCTTATCGAGGCATTCCATCGATTAATGACATCCAAAAAATAAAGGAATGTAGTGGGATGGTAAGTATTTTACTCAACCTTAATCAAAAGTTTGGGGTTCAAATGTTGGATTGGAGTCAATGAATTACCCCTCAAAGTAGGATGAATCAATATTAATCAAATATTAATGAAATAATTATCTCCTTATAAACATTAGATTAAAAGTCGCAAAAAAAAGTTTTACCCATATTGATTGAAACATAAAGAACAAAATATGACTTTTGGCTATCAAAGTAGTCTCATCGACTGCGAATGATTTTGAATAAGGGACTTGCCAGGAAATCATTTAATCCAAATTGTTTAAGCGACATACGTTATTTCATTGAACTCCAAGAGATGTGTTTTTAACATTTGATTAACTTATCAAGTACACAACTAATTATATAAGATGTATAATATTTTGATTATGTATGTAGCCTTGAATAGGAGAAACACTCTCGCAATTGATGAATTAAATGTTTGTACCACTTTTTGAAAATACAAATATAGACAATGAAACAATTACATATCTTTTCTGAAGACTATGGTGATGAATAACTATAGTAAAATGAAGAATTAATAACAAAATGCATAAACACTTAGAATCAAATCTTTTTGGTTTTAAGATTAAAAAAATAATTTCATTTCATCTTTGGGTAAAATATTCTTGACAATTTATCCTAGGGTTGTACTCACTCGAAAACACTTATATTATCAAATATTCAGAAGTAGATCACCGCGCAAAGCGCGAGCAATTTACCTAGTATAGACATATGTCATTCGACTCATGAGTCATGTCAAACTAAATGACGATTCAATGTATTATCTTTCGTTATTTGTAGGGTTCAGAAATTTAATTTATTAAGCTTTTGCTATTTGTAGGATTTGAAAAAGGATCGAACCACATGAATGACACTATTGTGCCTAGGTGAGCGTGTTTTTATGATATCCATATTGAGAATTCATTATAAATTAATTAGTATTAAGTTGACTATCAGCGTACTACAATCCTCTTTCTTTACTTGGGTTAAAGGAGTTATTAATTAAAATTCAAATGTAACAACTAACAACCATCAAACATTGCGATGGTAGGTATTCATTCATTTTTAATTCACATTATCGGGTTGAGTTATAAGTATAAAATTATCTTTGATAGAACTTCATGTTGCAAAACAAATACCGGATAGGAAAACTAAAAATCAAAGAAGATTTAACAACTAAGACACACCAAAGTGTGCAGGTATTATAACTAAAAGTCACTAAAGATTGTGATGGAGTGATAAGTATTCATTCATCATTTATTATATATTTCGAATTTTCAGTTCCAGTTCTAGATATAGAATTGTCTGTGATAAAAAAAATGTTTTACTCTCGAAATGAAATTTTTAATGTGAATCCAATTTAATCAAATCTCGATATAGATACAAAATTTCAGATGGTAAATCAAGAAAGATGTAATAACTAAAACACAACAATGCATTTTAATCTGATATATAAGCACTACATAAAAAATTAACGGCATTAATTTAATTGTTGTTAAATATGTATTTTTAGCAGGAATTAACACTCGTTTGTAAATGTTCCTAAAACCTACAGTGGCATTGGATCTAATGCAAATTAACTAGGGAAAAAGGACAAATATACCCCCGAACTATCATAAATGGTATACAGATACCCTCCGTCATACTTCTGGGACATTGGTGCCCTTGCCGTCCAAAAACTAGAGCATATATACCCTTTTTACTAACGGAGATACACATGTCATAATCTTATCCATCGACCCGACATTTATTAAATATCGGATCGACGGATAAGATTGTGCCTCCTGTCCTATTTAGTCTTCTGTTAGAGTGAAGGGCATATATGCTCTAGGTTTTGGACGGCAGGACACCCATGTCCCAAAAGTATGACGGATGATATCTGCACACTATTTACGATAGTTCAGGAATATATTTGTCCCTTTTTCCCAATTAACTAATATCACTAAAGTCTTTAACACTCTTTATAAATGTATATATTTATTATCGCTAAAAAATATTTTTATTATAGTAAATACAGTAACATTACTTAACAAAATCCATGATTTAGAGGTTGATGAACTTTTTAGCACGAATATAAGTTAGTCGGATAATACCAACCATTAGGTTGGAAACTAAAATATAATGTAATAATTAATACACAATAAATCATGCATATGTAATAATTACTAATTGTGAAAGATTATAATGGGACGATAAGTATTTTTTCATATTTAGACAATTAGTAATAAATTGTTTTGATATGAATTCAAATTTATGAAATACCACAACACACATAAGACACCTAATGATGGCATTTGTTGGGTTTCTGATAATGCAATTATTTTTTAAAAAAAAAGACATGACAACACTAATCCAACACCAGCTGGGACCTTCATGCATTAATTACCACTGATACAATTAATTAAATTATTTCTTTGTCTTTTAATTTGTTGTTTATATTATGATTAGATACGAAATTTTAAAAATTAAATTTTATAATTTTAAATTAAAAATATATACAATATCTTAAAGATTTTTTATTATCATAATTTTGAAATAAGATAAAAATAATTAAATTATACACACACAAATTTGCATTATTTCACAATTTTAAGTTTCTAGCTTCTAGGAGTTTGGCCATAAATAATTATTTTATTTAATATTATTTAAAAATACGGTGCACATTAACTTGCATTCGACATTTACATTAAATAGTACAAAATTGTTAAATTTAAGTTACAAAGTTAGGTGAAAATATCTATCAATTAATTATTATTTAATGCAAAAGTATATTTTAATATATTAGTATAAAAAGTATTGAAAGTAAGTAAAGTATTAATTCAATCACCCGTATTTTCTCTAAGAAAATATATTACTTAAAAAATGAGAAAATTGACTTCCTTGATAAAAGTAGAGAAAATAAGTTTCATTTATATAAATGACATTCCAACTTCATTGTCTCCTTTCCATTCATCCAACGCCTCCAACTCGGGACCCTTGACAACTCCACTTTTGTCATATTCGAACCCACACTCTCGTACCCCATCCTACCTCTCATAGCGTTTTGATAAATTACATATAAATGCGCTTCAAATGATGTTTTCTTTACTTACTTATTAAACTCCAGAAAATTAACATATGTTATGGACTTATGGTAGATGGTTGAGATTCCACTATACTTAATTAGATGTCTCAGATTCAAACCTTGAAAATCTAAAAAATTCTGTTGGGAGCGGCGCCCTAAGAAAATGACTAAATGAGTATAAATTCAAATTTAATCAGACTCCAATATAAATATGAGACATCTTATAGAAAATCAAAAAAAGAAGACAAAAATAAATATTTTATCATATTTTAATAAAACAAAACCCACTTTTTTTTAAAAAAAAAAACATTTTCCTTTGAATATTTTTTCCTTCACACCAAACTGCAAACACACCCAAACCATTAAACCTTTCACCAAATCATCATTTCAAGCAATTATATAAATTAATAATCACTCAAAATCTTTACTATACTAATTAATATCCTTCATTTATATTTATAAATATATATTATTATAGATAGATATTTCTAACAGCTTCTTTACATTATATTATTCAACAACAACAACAATATACTCGTGTTAACTTCATTAATGAAATTTGAAGAGGGTGAAGTTTACATAAACGACTTTACTCCTAGTAGAGATGTTGTTCTCAAAAGACTTTCGGCTCAAACGCAATAAATTAAAATAGTTATAAAAAATGACAATAAAAAAAACATAACAACTAATAAGGATAGAAGTACAATGCACTCCAAGAAACCGCAATAACAATTGAAATGATCCGGCAATCAAAATATAACAAACAACATATGTTAATAAAAATCAAAAGCAAAAAACTACATAAATAAGATTAATACACCGATATATACGATACTTTAGACTCTCACCGAGTAAACTCCTGTCGAAAATGAGACAACACTCAATTACACACTAACCTTTTATCTAACCTATGATTTTCATATTCTCCTTTCTAAAATTGTGTTTTTTAATAAATTAAAACTATAACATATTTTGTTTAATCAACTATTTTTCATATTCCTTTGATCTATTCATATCTTATATAATATATGATATGGTGAAATAATATACTAAAATAATAATATAATATGATATATTATGAAACAATACCAATCCTCCAACCCTCCAAACAAATATGTAGAAGTATGTTAAACAAACAAAGACAGAAGAAGATACAAACAAAAGAATATTAAATAATTCAAAATCAATCCTTCTTCTCTCTCTCTGTATGCTGCTTGCTTTTCCACAAAATTAAATTTGTTTCTACTTTTTCTGAAAATCTCTCTCTCTCTCTCTTCTCAATCTTCCCTCATTTGTCCCATCTCTTTTTTTTCTCCATTGCAAGAATTCTTGACCTTTTTTTATTTATTTTCAGCTGTCAACAGGAGCTTAAGAACACCCCAATACACTTTTTTTTAAATTTGTACATCTGTGGTTGCAGAAAGATTGCTTTTTTATTAATGGGGTGATTTTTCTTGTAAAGATAGGGTTTTTATTCATGGGTTATTTGGAGATGATGGGTGTTGGTATTTGTAGAAGGATGTAGCTGGACAATAATTTTCTTCAAATTTTGATTGATGATTTTTAGGCTTCATTGTTTTGAAAGTTGTGAACTTTAAATTGATTTTGATCTTTAAGGGTGGTAAATTGGATAGATGTATGAGTAGTTTTGATGGGGTTAATTGTTTCTTGGATTTGCTGGGATTTTTTGGCCAATCTAAGTGAGTGAAAATCTGAGAGAATTAATTATTTTGGCTTGTTGAAATTGTTGTTGTTGGTGAAATTTCTGAAGTGGGGTTGTTGAAATCAGCATGGATCATGTTGTGGGTGGGAAGTTTAAGCTTGGAAGGAAGATTGGGAGTGGTTCTTTTGGTGAGCTTTATTTAGGTATGTCACTTGGTAGATTTGATTCTATGGTCAACCCCATTTCATTTGCTTTTGAATTTTGTGTTTTTAGAAGCTTTTTAGCTACACTTTTGTGCTTCTTATGTTTTCTGCTTCTTGCTACTTTATTGGTCAGGTGTGAATATACAGAATGGAGAAGAAGTTGCCATTAAGCTGGTATTGTCTCTAGTTGCTCATTCTTACTCCCTCTATTTGTTTGTCTTAGTTTGTTTGACTGTGCATGGAGTTTAAGAAAATAAAGAGACTTTTGAATCTTGTGGTATTAAAGTAAAGATATGTATAATCTACCAAAATGTTCTTTACTCGTGTGGTTTTAAACATGTCACGGCGGATGTTGGAATTCAAGAGTTGCCAAATTAGGCATTCTTCTTGCAATAGACTAAAAAAGAAAGTAAGACAAACAAATTAAAATGGAGTGAATATAATTTTTGCTGCTTAGTGTTTGGTTCATGCTGTTTAGTTGTTGCTACGTTATGTCTATGTAGTTATGACAGACTGAATAGAACACAATCGGTAGAGACTCTTAAGTCAGTGTAGAGATTAGAGTATGAAAGTTGGAGAACCGCTGAGACAAATTATTTATATTGGAATGAAATGAGTCGAAATATAGGGGAACAAATACAGATGATTCGTACTCATCCAAATGAAAAGATGATTCATATAGTCGGCCCCAACTAACTTGAGATTGAGTTGTAGTTGATTGATTGAATTATTGATATGCCATTTAGCTCCTCTTCTATTATTATTATTAGAGTTATAGCACTAAAATGGTAAGAAACAACTATTCTTCTGATTTTGCATTGCACTTACATATGGTAATTGTTTCGCTCTTCCTAAATCTTACGTATTGATTGCTTTCCTATTTAGTGGAACTGTTCATCTTATCTTATTACTGCAACTATCAGGAATCTGTCAAGACGAAGCACCCTCAACTTCATTACGAGTCAAAAATATATATGCTTCTCCAAGGAGGAAGTAAGTCTCTCTTCATGTCCTTTTCATACTCGGCTTTCTATCAATGATGCAATTGTGTTGATTTCTCTGGAATACCATCAAAAGAAAAGGAGGGGAGTATTATATGCTATTTGTCAGAAGTTCAATTCACTGACCCCTTCTTCCCTAATTATGAGCATGAATGGGCCCTTTTATTTATGTATTTGGGTACTTTATGTCCTCTTTTACATGACGTTTATTCAGATTAGAAAATATTTGGTAGAATCAAAGTAGCAATCAATTAGTTCTATGTGTTTTGTCTAATCAATGAACTTTTGGGATAGGAATGTGATGAATAGAAAATTTACTCCTTATCTCTTCCATTAATTATGAAGCCGGGATTCCCAATCTCAAATGGTTTGGAGTTGAGGGCGAGTACAATGTGATGGTCATTGACCTTCTTGGACCAAGTTTGGAAGACCTCTTCAACTATTGCAATAGGAAGTTCACTTTGAAAACAGTTTTAATGCTTGCAGATCAACTAGTAAGTACTTCTTTGTCATGCCACTCCTTTCAGAGATTAGCTTTTATATAACCGTTGATTATGAGTCTTGATGTAATAATCTTGCTGTATGTCATTTTCAGATTAATAGAGTTGAATATATGCACTCACGAGGATTTCTTCACCGTGACATAAAGCCAGACAACTTTTTAATGGGTTTAGGTCGCAAAGCAAATCAGGTATTTATTCATGTCCTGTCAGAGTTTGAAAAAGCTTCTAATATATGTCATGTCAATATTCCTTCATGGCTTCACCTAAACCGGTATTGGTTCACGTCTCTCTTTGCTAGTTCAGTTTTTAGTTCATCACTGAATGCCATATCAGTGCTGAAGTAAGAGCTTCAATGAAAAAGATATGTTGCATAATTTGGAAGTCCTTATATTGGAATAAAATTGATTCCAACTCTAATGACAGGTTTATGCCATCGACTTTGGGCTTGCCAAAAAGTATAGGGACCTACAGACTCACAAGCATATACCATACAGGTAAGTACACTTTGTTACTTGACTGGTCCTTGCAGTTGTCCTGTTTGTCTTTCCGGATGCTAATTTCACAGCTTTATAAGGAAAAGGATGGTAGTTTTGATTCTCTTTCAGTGCTCCTAGCAAGTTTCCATTGTCAAGATAATTTTATGTTTGTTGCCTACTGTTTTTTTTCCTTTCTTGGTATGTTCACTTTATATAGAGAGAGAGCATACTAGGATAGATAGGATCCGAATCTATTCGAGACAAGGTGGGAGTGGCCTCCGTGGTGGACAAGATGCGGGAGGCGAGGCTGAGATGGTTCGAGCATAGAGAGAAATTTAGTATCATTGCTAGTATTTCAGAAAATTTAGCCATGACTACTTTGATGGTATTACTCAAAATACATATAGTCACTAGAGTACTGAAATGAAGTTATCTCTGAAAATGGGATTTCACTAGATTTAGATTAGTAAAGTATGAAATTCAATCAATCTCCTACTGTATCCCATTAAGATTGTTGTAGCCAACTTTTTCTTGTTTCCAAGTCTTAGTTGAAAGGAAGAACCTACTGAAAGGTCTTTGCTATTGATGGCCTTGGCAACCATTGATTGTTGAATTGGCTGGCACTACTAGATTGTGTTATAAAATCTTCTATCAATCTAATTTTGGTATTTCACTTTGTTTCTTTTCCTCAATTATGCATTTGTATCTGGAATGCCTCTGATGTGTTTTTTTTTTCCCAATATTCTTCCAGAGAAAACAAGAATCTGACCGGCACAGCTCGTTATGCCAGTGTCAACACACACCTTGGAGTTGGTAGGTGTATATCATTTAGGTTGTCAAATAATCAGGGGACTACTGAAGCTTTAGAGTCATTTCTAACTCATAATTTGTTTTTTTTTTTCTTGGCCAGAGCAAAGCAGAAGAGATGATTTGGAATCTCTCGGCTATGTGCTTATGTATTTTCTTAGAGGAAGGTAATTTCACCTTTTCGTTTTGGCATCTTTCTGTGGCTTCCTGATTTAAATTGTAGAGTTGTTTGCTGACCTGGTGACACCTTCTTGGTTCAGCCTTCCATGGCAGGGACTGAAAGCTGGTACCAAAAAGCAGAAATATGATAAAATTAGTGAGAAGAAGATGTTAACTCCAATAGAGGTACTTGTTATGATCATCAAAGCATCTTAATTCTGTGACACCATCATCACCTTTTTTGAATTATGAAAGCATCTGTCATGACACCCTTAGCCATCCTTATGTCATATTATCTTGTCAAGCTATGATGGAAATTCTTCACTTCAACCTGGTTTCTGTTGAAGTAGAGATCACTCAATGTATTGATCCTGGCTATCCTAATAATATCTTGAGCTGGTTTTGGATGATATGTGGCCTTAGTTTGGGCTGTTCAGCTGTTGATTGCATTATCTGCTAGCGATATGAATCATCTGATGAGACAATTCACACATGATTATATTTTACTGTAACAGGTGTTATGCAAATCCTATCCTTCAGAATTTATATCATACTTCCACTATTGTCGATCATTACGGTTTGAAGATAAACCTGACTATTCATATTTGAAGAGGTTGTTCAGAGATTTGTTTATTCGTGAAGGTAAATAATACTCCCTCTTTTCCAATTTATGTGGCAGGGACAATTTATGTGGCGGTATTTGACTGGGCACAAAGTTTTGAAAAGGGAAGGAAGTTTTAAAAAAAAATTGTGGTCTAATACAAGACAAAAACATTTTTGTGGCTGTAGTCCCTCTCATCAAGGATAAAATGGAAAATTCAAAGTTAAATTGTTTCTAAATAAAGAAGTATAACATTGCCCCCAAGGCCTAGCTCAAGTGGCAAAAGGTGGAGGATTTGTGGCTTAGGTCACAAGTTCAAGCCCCACACCATGCAAAGCGAAGCCCGGTATTTAAGTGGAGAAGGGTAGAGGGGCGGGCCCATTATCCACCGAGTTTAGAAGGCTGTGATTGGTCCAAAGGGCGGGTCACAGACGGATTTCTCGGTTATCAAAAAAATAAATAAAGAAGTATAACATTCTTTTGGGACAGACTAAAAAGGACAAAATGAGTACTCCGCTTTTCTTTTACATAGTTTTGGGTCCAAAAGTTGTCTAATTGTAACTACTCAATTCTTGTCCTTATAGATGTGTATTTTAGTCTCTTAATCTTAATCTTTGACATTACACAGGTTATCAATTTGACTATGTTTTTGATTGGACCATTTTGAAGTACCCTCAGATCGGTGCCAGTTCTAGAGGACGAGTTAGTTCTTTTCAAACATTCCTTTGTATTATTACTTTTCACTCTTCTTGGTTATTATGAACGATACTAGTGCATTTTCTTGCTTCCAGCTTCCTGGTGGAAGTGCCGGACTAAATGCTGGGCCATCTGCTGAAAGACCAGGAAGGACATCAGGTATTATAGCTGAATAGAAGTAGTGGATATTCTCAAAAATTACACTCTTTACTTTTTGTAGTTGCATTAATTAATTAAAGATGAATCTCAATAGGTTGGTTAGTTCCTTTTGGTCTTTAGTTATTTCGTGAGTGGAGTCAAAAACACACCTAAGAGTATTCCGTTTTTTCGAGTTTCATACCTGAACTATTAGGTGTGCTCACACAAGTTTCCTACCTGAACTACCACCTACCATTTATTAAAACACACCTCAACTATCAATTGCTCCGTTTTCCTCCCTAAACGATGGTGATGTTTCAGGTAGGAAAAAGGAAAATCTGATAGTTGAGATGTGTTTTGATAAATAGTTGGTGATAGTTCAGGTAGGAAACTCGCACACCTGATAGTTCAAGTATGAAATTCGAAAAACCGGGATACGTTAGGTGTGTTTTTAACCTTTTAACTCTTATTTCATCAAGACAAGGTTCAGAAACTATATCCTATCTATGAGTTCTTGTTCTAGATTTTGCATATTGTATAACCTGGAACATGTCTTCCTTGCTTCATGAATTATAAGTTTTCTGCCCCTTGCTGGAACTTCTGATTTTCTGAGATGCTTCATGAATATTATATGTGAGCTTCTCATGCTAAAGTTGAACAATGTTACTGCTGCTTCTGCCAATTTATCATTGATTGACACTTGACAAAAATGTTTTAATTCTGTAATCCAGTCGGACAAGATATTAGAGACAGGTTTTCTGGTGCTGTTGAAGCATTTTCTAGAAGGAATGCTTCTGGTACAGGAAAGCATGGGGAGTACTCCAGACACAAGACTTCAGAGGATATGACTTCATCTAAAGATGTGGTATCGATCATTCCCTATTTTCTAAGAAAGAAAAGGAACCCAAAAAGATCCCTTTCTTCAATTCCATTTCAGAGTTGGGGCTGTTTTAGTTGCCTTATATGTTCTTGCATAGTGTGGTAACTTGCCAATCTTTGTACTTTTTTTAAAAGTAGCAACCACTACCTACTAGCTAGCCATCTGTTTAGAACTTCTTCATTTATAGGTGTGTATTAACCCTGTCTTCTAAAATAGTTGTAGAATAACTATGCCTCAATCCTGAACGAAAATCGTCGTGGAAGAGAAACTAAATTTATTAACTCATTGTCATATATTAGTTGTCTCCGTGTGCCCCATGTAAGTCACGGGTTCGAGTGGTGGAATCAGCCACTGATGCTTGCATCAAGGTAGGCGGGTAACTGCCTACATTACACACTCTTGGGGTGTAGCCCTTCTTCAGATCCAGCATAAACATGGGATGTTTCTTTCACCGCACTGCCTTTCTTTGAAATAGATGTATATATATTTTTCCTTTATGGTATGAGCCGCCCGATTACTGTCATTTAGCCAGGGTGGAGCTACAGGTATTGAAGGGGGTTCAATTGAATCCTCCTCATCGAAAATCATAATGTGTTCTTGTTTATATATATGAACCATTGAATCCCCCTCAACATAAGGGAAGCTTTTGTGTAGTAGCATAGGTGGAAAAAAATTGCATTGTTTTAGGTCGTAGGTCTGAATTTCAGGTGTCGTGTTTTTGCATACTTTTTGTCCCCTTATCTGTTTTTCCTAGTTCCGCCTTTGCATTTCGCTGGCTGGATTTTATGCTTTGCCTAAGTAGTACGATCAATAAATCTTCTTGTATGTTGCAGCAAGCTGATTCAGAAAGAGGCCGTACCTCAAGAAACGGAAGCTCTTCAAAAAGGGCTGCCATTTCTAGCAGCAGACCGAGCTCTTCTGGTGATCCCACCATCACTGATAGTCGGTCGAGCAGACTAGTGTCAAGCAATGGGCGTGTGTCTACCACACAAAGAATTCATCTAGGTATGGAACCAAAACCATCACCTTTCTCACGTAAGGGGACACGTGATGACCCTCTTCGGAGCTTCGAGTTCCTTTCAATCCGAAAGTAGAAAAAAGCATGTCACTTGTATAAAGAGAGAATTTCCTGTTTGTTTTGGAACATTGCAATCCTTTTAAGTGTTGTATATTGAAAATGTTTCTATGTGACAACTTAAGCTTATCCCAACTTCCAATTGTTCCTTGTTTTGGTTTTGATTTTAGAGCTTGAGTTCTGGCCATTTGTAAAAGCCTTTTGACTCATCCAAAGAATTGATGAGTAAAAAGTGCTAGAGTTTCATACATGTACACTCAGATAGTATGTATTATGTAATAAATATTATTATTGTACCAATGAATGTATCTTTTTTACTCAGTAGTAGGATGAACCTTTTATCGAACAGTGGTGTTTAGACCAGTTTGCAAATATCTCAAATATTTCACCGAATACTTGTTATCTTTCATCAGCATACATGTATTATTAGGTAATCTTGTACATGTCCAACAAGGCTTAGACCATCTTGCATTTTCGGTTCTACCCTTTTCCCACCCTTTTCCCGAACAGAGTGTATGGACCAGTTCTTTGTAAAGGAGTGGCGGAGCTATGATTTTCACTGAAAGAGTTCTAAGCACACAAACAAGTTGGAAGGGGTTTGGATGAACTCCCTCGGCCCTACTTAGTTTTGGCCCTGCCTGTTATCCATCAATTCTCAAACGTGCTGGCTTGATCCTTTGTTGCAGTCAAGGGAGCACAATACTACAAAATAAAATCTGCAAACATTTGTTATACATCTATTGAATTGGTGTAAATATTGAATGAGTAATTTGTGTGTAGAGAAGTAGGCAATTTTAATAATAAGCGCCGTCTCCAAACGTATGATAATTAGTTGACTATTACCATTACAATAGGTTGACACAACCAATTTCAACAAGACAAGGTTAAAACAAACATCTATCTACCAAAAGTTCTTTAGCTTAGGTAATAGTTACACTGAATATTCTCACACAATGATCAGCTCCACAGGAGGCAAGCTGCACGGTCTCAGAATCTTCGCTCTTCTGAGGATTTCTCCAAGATAGTCGTTGAACAGTAGAGACGTGGCACAGAAATGGATCAAACTTAACAGCAGGAGAAGCATTTTGGACTGATAAATGCCCATCTCCTCCTCTGCTATTCAGATTCCATAGTTCAATCAAGCCATTTTCCATTCCCACTGCAAGAAGCCCGCGATTGCTATGACTATCGAGACCTAACCAAGACAGGGCAGTGACACTGCTTTTGAAAGGTGGAAGTGTCAACAGTAGCTTCACCGAGGTTTCAGTTTCCACAGTCCATATTTTGACAGTCTTGTCCCTTGAACCAGTAGCAAATTCATGACCAAATGGGTTCCAAGAACATGACCATATTATTCTTTTATGTGCTTCTTGCTTAGCTACAAGCTGGTAATTGATCTCATCAGTTCCTGTATAACACAAAGACGAGTTTCAGCACATGGCAAAATAAAAACTTGAACAAAAAGTTTTATCATAAGCTAAATAATCTCCTAGCTTTCAAAACTTCTCTACAGATTTTCAGATAAAGGCAAAGCCGATAAGTATCAAACCTTTATGATTAATTTGAAAAACAGAGAAGTGGCGATCTCTTGAAACAGCCAAAAGATACTGGTTATCATGAGAGAACTCCATTTGGGTCACTGTTAAACTGTGAGACTGTAAACGACCAACGGATTTCCAAGAACCAACTTGCCAAAGCCATATTTCAGCGACTGGTGCTGATTGAGCCTGCAGGATTTTATATCAGTGGCATAATTAGTATTCATAATTAATTAAGAAAACACCATACCGAGTGTAATCTCACAAAGTGGGGTCTAGGGAGGGTAGAGTGTACGCAGACCTTACCCCTACCTTGAAGGTAGGGAGGCTGTTTCGGATAGATACAATTAATTAAGAAATTAAAGACTATTTTCAAAACAAAAGAACATCATTAGAAGTTGAAAGGAGTATCTAGAAGAATATTGTGAATTCCGTCAAGTGTCGCTATAGTTCACAAAGGTCTCTAACAACGTAAAGAAGTTTCCTGAGGTAATCAGCATCACCAGTAACTTAAACAAAATGAGCAGATTGACATTTGATTTCTCACAAGAGTAGGAACGCCGCAGGATCAAACTCAGTTACTCCTCAACTAGCCCCCACGCCAATAAAACAGAGGCTTATCATGGTCAAGATATTGAAGAAAATTAACACCATATATAGATCGGAGTAGCATTCTTTTAACTTTTTAATCGAAGCATATTAAGACCAGAAACTAAAAACCAACTTTATAGCACTTACAAAAGTATAACCAAGTTGATGCTATAACAAGAGACTCGAGCAAAGTTTATGACAAGGAAAAGCCATGTGTCCACGTGTTACCCAAAAAGAAGGGAAAAGAAACAAGGGAAAGGATGATTAACCTTGCAGGATGAAGCTACAAGCTTTCCATCATGATCACAACATAGAGAAAAAAGCTCATTCCCATGACCATAAAGCTTGTGTGATTCGGGCCATAGAGTATGCCATGCCAATTGCTCTTCAATAGGTGGCTCTGTCAAGACAACTGGAACTGCTTCAGGAACAGTTTCTAGAGTATCAAAACCTTCCGTATTGCTTCTGTCTGTTGGTGTCGATGCTGCTGCAAATGATAGATTTAGGTGTATCAGATATTTAAAAATATAAGGGTCTTCGAAGGAACCATTCAGAATAATCTCTATTTGTATCAGAACACTGTGCATGAGATTATTCCAGCTCTTTAAGCAAAGTTGAAAAAGACTCATTAACACATCAAATTAAACCTAATTCAGTATGTGGTTAACAGAAGGTCCTTACAGTTAATTTTGACAGGTCAACAACTCAGTTATATATCACCTTGTAACATCAAAGTGATGATGGAAAAATAAATGAATAGAAAACTGACCCTGAACATAAATAGGTTTCTGCGATAGACCTAGAGCAGACATATTTGCCCCTAATATCTGCACATCAGCTTGAATGTCGGCAGAAAAACTAGAGTTGTCTGATGTAACATGGCTCAACGTCTTCAGAAAGGATAGAGGAGATTCAAAAACTCTTGCAACTTTCTCGTCTGCCCCGCCAACAAAACGATGATTTCCTTTTCCTTTGATTACTGTGACACAATTTATGTCATGACCATGAACTTGAGGGCGAGCAATTTCATGCCAGGATTCTTCATTCTCTACACTTGTATTGTTGAGCCAAGGAGCAAATACTCTAGTTGACTGCCAAAAAAAGATTGAGCCCAGAAGTTCGATAATTTATTCATTAGAAGAGAAAGTAAGAAATAGGGAAATGAAATTCATGGGGTACTTGACCAGGTATGTGGCAGAAGAGAAAGCAAGAGATAAAATGCATGGATACTTGACCAATTATGAACCCCAGTTCAAAACTAAGCATGTTAAATATTTCCAAAAGCTGGAAAAAATTAAAGTTCAAAAAGAAAATCAGTAACTTGACAAAGCAGTAATATTTCCTACTAGAGCTCCTTCCAAAATCTTTACTTCATTGACTCGTATAATTTAAACATAACAGAAAAGGAAAAAGAAACAACTTGTGGAGAAGGATAACCAAAATCAATGAACAGATTCCCAGAGAACTTGTTCACCGTAATTGTTTGCTGATTAGAAATCAACCTACAGCATAAGGACATATATTGAGTTTTCACTGTGATGAAGTCATGGTAGTGCGTAGCAGTGAGCCTACAGCACAATCAGCATAGTGGATAATTCTCAAATTTTAAGCGTAGTCCATCGCTCAAAGTTCATCAGGTAGACCAAAACAATGTCTGATCTAGCTATAGAAGATGTTACAGGCAAAACAAAATATATGGGGTCCCAAACTGCTTATAGTGAAACTAAAATCCCATGTGACAATTCTCATAAGCACACTAACACAAAGAAGTGATACATATCCGTCATCTTAAAGTATCCACAGTACACCTTTGTTAGTAATGCTTAAGAACACCATCCCTAGAATGATCAGTAATCTCTAAATATTAATTATCGCCTACTTAGGAAGTGGACAACATGCTTTGTGCAATAAGAAATGGACTAGTCTTTTCCTTGCTGATTTATTTGTATTTCTCCTGATTGCAGCAGCGACAAAACCAATTGGACTAATATATCGTCTCACGATTTTGTCCTAGCAAATGCATGCAAGATTAGCTTTTCTACAAGTTTGACATTTTTTCGCATGGAGGAAATTAGAACAAATATATAAGAGATCCTATGGGTACTTGAGAAATGAGTTAATAATCTATACCGAGATAAAAGTAACTGCAACTATTATTTCGGTACGTGAACCAGAATGGTTGACACATTCAGCAACAAGAAGATGGAAAAAGTTGGGTTAGTTAAGAGATCACAAGAAGTCAATTAAGAGGCTGCAAATATTATTTCGGTACGTGAACCAGAATGGTTGACGCATTCAGCAACAAGATGGAAAAAGTTGGGTTAGTTAAGAGATCACAAGAAGTCAATTAAAAGGCTTAACACCCATGACTGCCTCAACTGGGAGCCATAAGCCCCATAGGTGCATTATGTGTAGGACGAGTGATGGAACTTACCAGTTATTTTGAAATAATCTATGCAAGAAATTTGTGAGGAATGCTAGGATTTCCAAGGAAACAATTGCTTTTTCTTTTTTTTTCTGTTGAGAATGTGGAAACTATTGCTTTTTTATCTTCACAAGGTCATTTCTCTCTTGGAATAACATTTACTTGGTCAATTTGTAACCATCAAAGACAACATTTCAAGAATGCAAAAACTAACAGATAAGGGTGTTGCTGAATGTGCTATTTCGTGCATCTAGAATACTTCAAGATCATTTTCCTTCGAAACAACATATATAAGGGGTATGTTTGTTCTATGAACTTTGACAGCATTGTTTAAGGTTATAAGCCTCTTCCATGATATTACCCTGACCAATCTGCAGTAACATTGAAAACTCTATTTACCTGATAAATGATAATATACTTGATTTAGTTTATGTACACATTCCACTTCATTGTAATATTCTACCTTGAAAAAAAGCTCATTTTCTTTGTTATTTACTGGTTAACTAAAACAAAATTTCTTTGTTGTTAACGTGTTCATTAGGCGGGAAAATAAAAAATGTCACCATTTTGCTGACAAATAGCTTAAATCAACATATACCATTCCAAAAAATTGAATTTCTATGTGCAATAAGATTACCTGATCATGACTGACAGACATCATATATTCCCCACATCTAGCCCAGGCGATGTCCGACACTGCAGCAAAGTGTCCAGATGGAACTTTTTGTGGCTTCCAATCATCATACTCAATACCAACATCTTTCCAGAGG